TGTAATGAACTGTATATGGGTATTATGCATAGGAAATGAAAACAATCAGAGAGCTGTGAGAGAACATAAAGGCCTCCCATATCTTATCAGATTTCTGAGTTCTGATTCAGGTGAGCTTCTATCTCTGTATTATTTTATAGTGACCAGATATATTAAGTGAAGCAAATATGGATTTGGACTTGTCATATATGAATAGATGTCCTAAATCTGTCTTTGAATAGATCTAAACATGTGTAATGTAATCTAAATATCGAAAACACAAATTTATTTATGTTTTCTAACTGCTAAACTATGTAGAAAACAGTTCTATTTATTTATTTATTTGAGATGGAGTCTCACTCTGTTGTCCAGGCTGGAGTGCAATGGCACAATCTCAGCTCACTACAACCTCTGCCTCCCGGGTTCAAGCAATTCTCCTGCCTCAGGCTCCTGAGTATCTGGAATTACAGGCATGCACCACCACACCTGGCTAATTTTTGTAGTTTTTAAGTAGATACGGGGCTTCACCATGTTGGCCAGGCTGCTTTTGAACTGACCTCGCCCACCTTGGCCTTCCAGAGTGTTGGGATGACACTCGTAAGCAACAGCGCCTGGCCTCTTCCCAGTTCTTTATCCACATCCCCTACGTCTTTCCTGAGCTTTAGAGCTAGTTTGGATTACTGAAGAGCTAAGTAAAGACACTTCTCTCCTTTCAGAATTTGGGTCCCGATGAGAAATAGACAGGAAACAGACAGAGATCAAAACGTCAGCCTTATTGTTGGAAAGCTTGCTCCAAGAAAACAACAAAAAGTACCAAAAAGAACCTAAACCATGCATTTGCAATGACTCATTCTTCAAACGAAAAAATTAGGTAACTCACTACTCTTCTCATAAGGAAGGATGAATAAGGAGTAAACTTTTATTCTTAATACTTCTGAGTTTGCCAGGGTGGAGGAATTTCTACTTTTTGTCCTGATGCAGGGTAAGAGAAAGAATGGTTTTCCCCACATTCTCTTAATTTTATTAATCTCTAAGGGTTAACATTCCAAGTGTTACTTGAGTGATCTATCTAAAATGTAAAGTTGATTATATCTTCTTGTTTAAGTTACTCAGTGACTGTGTATCACCTAGGATATGGTCCACATTTCCAGCATGGCCTATAAGCCCTTTTTACTTTGCTACTTCAAGAGGAAATGACCTTCCTGTCACTCCCCTCTGACATTACTGTCAAGTAATATTGAACTTATTGTTATGTTCTTTACTTTGGCCTTTCCTTTTGTTCCACAAGCTCAAGGACCTGGTTTTACTGGTTCACCATTTTTTCCCTAGTGCCTGGGACAATGGCTAGCATATAGTAGCTATTTAATAAATATGCATTGAATAAATAAATAATTAGATGATTAAATGAAGAAGAAAATACTCATAACAATAAAATAATATATTTGACATAAATTGATATAAAGTGAGTATAGAAGTTGGTATGAACAATAAGACTTTAATAGAGAGATGATTAATTGATAATACATAAAAAACAAATGCATTATGGAGCATTAAAGGATATCAGTAGATGCATGAATGCACAAACACTTTTCTATCTAGTTTTGCTTTTGGAAATATGTTGATATTCTACATAATAAAAAAATTAAATCTACAAAACTGGGGGAAATGAAAACTGAAAGAAATAAATTGTATAACTAGATTTAAAAAGAAAAAATGAATACAAATAATTGTAAACACAGTGCATTATATGCCCTCTTTCTAAGGGTAAACACAAAACAAACTACACACAGATCTTGAGTTCTTTTTAGTGAGCTTGTATGTCATAGTGATATGGGTAGAACAAATCTGAACCCACATGATAAGTAATGTAGGACTAAAGAAATGAATAAATTTGTTGATATTATTAGGTTCTTCTTGTGCAAAGAAATGTGCAGAATGTAGGATAACAATAAAGAACATTGTGGGGTTGGGGTTGGACTGGAATTGGAAGTATATGTGTGTATACGTATATTTGGATGAGCATATGTATATGGTGAGCACACCTAGCACCCAAATCTTGGTTTCTAAATATCATCCCTCATTAAAAGGAACCAGAGCATCTTGGACAAATAGTTGATGCCAGGGCAGGGACAAAAAAGGTATATGGTGAGTTAGGAATCATCATATGGTGACAGAAAGTAATAAAATACATTTTTTTAAAAAAGGGGGAGGCATATTTATAGGACACAAGGACAACCTGAAGGGGCTCCCACTGGCCAAATCTTAGACAATTTGAGTACCAACATAAATAAGAAAATACACTGGGCACAGTGGTTTGTGCCTAGATCTCAGCACTTTGTGGGGTAAAGATGGACAGATAGCTTGAGCTCATGAGTTCAACATCAGCCTGGGCAACATGGCAAAATCTCATCTCTACTAAAAATGCAAAAATTAGCTGAGTGTGGTGGCACACACCTGTATTCCCAGCTGCCTGGGAAGGGCAGGTGGGAAGATAGCCTGAGCCTGGGAGGCAGAGGTTGCAATTAGCTGAGTTCATGTCACTGCATTCCAGCCTGAGTGAGAGAGTGAGATTTTGTCTCAAAAAAAAAAAAAAAAAAAAAAAAAAGAGAGAAAAGAAAATTAATGGGTTATAACTCATTGAATAAAATAGGAACCCATGCACTCATTCTGATAATAATTGGATAAATAGGGACACAAATAATAAGGTAGGGATCTTCCATACAGCAGAATGCCAACAAATGTGAAGGAGTGGTAGGTTTCGAAAATTAGTATTGTGCAAGCAGCATAGTAAAGATTGGTTCAGGCAAAAATTATAAATGGTTGTTATATCTTGGGGGCAAATTTTGATATTTACATGGCCTTAAAGTGTTTTGCTCCCTATTAGTTGCAAGAGGGAAAAATAGCAGCTATACAGTAGAGAAACTGTGTGATCCAAAGTAACATCACCAATGAGGAATAGATAGACATTATATAACTCCACAGAGGATATCCCCAGAACATAATGTCACCTTTCTTTTAAATGGGATTGCTATGTTGCCTGGGCTGGTCTTGAATCCCTGGGCTCAAGCAATCCTCCCACCTGAGCCTCCTAAGTTGCTGGAATTACAGGTACACACCACTGCACCCAAGCCATAATGTCTTTTAAAAAATATTCTGGATGGAGGTGCATATTTTGAGTCATGAGGAAATATCAAACAAGCCAACATTGAGGAAAATTCTCTAAACTAAATGACCCATATTAATTAAAAATGTCTAAGTCATAAAAGACCAAAAAAAAAAAAAAAAACCAACAACCTGAGAAAAGGTCCCAGATTATAGTATACTAAAGAGACATAACTAAGTGCAATACATGGCCCTGGTCTGGATCATGTACTGGAAGAAAGTAAATATGATAAAGGACATTAATGGGATAATCAACACGGTGTGATTAAAGTATTGCATCTACTAATTGCCCTGTAGTTACCTCAGAGGATAGCCTCGTTTTTAGTAAATATACACTGGATTATTGAAAAGATAAAAGGCCATGATGTTTGCATGCAACATATCCTCAAATTTAAAAAAGTAAATCATATAGATAAATGGATTAAGAAAAGCCAACATGGCAATATATTAAACTTATAAATCCTGTAAGTGTATACAGGAATTCTCTGACTTATTCTTACAACTTTTCTGTAAGTTAAAAAAATGCAGCTGGTTACAAGGATAGAAAATGTTCAGACTCACCAGTACCAAAAATATAAAACAAAATGAGACAGTATTTTCATCTATCAAAGTAGCAAAGTTGATGTATTTATTTTTAATGATACACATACTCAAAATGGATGCCACAAACCACCATGGTACTGTATACCTATGTAACAAACCTGCACATGTACGCCAGAACTTAAAGTATAATAATAAAAAAATAAATAAAATTAAGACAATCAAAACAAACTAAAAATATCCCACAGTGTAACTTGTTAAAAAAAATATTGAAAAATGTTTAGGCTCACCAATACCAAAAATACAAAACAAAATGAGAGCACTTTCATCTATCAAATTATCAAAGTTGATGTATTTATTTTTAATAATACCTATATTCAAAAAAATACAGTAACATTGATACTTTTGAACTCTGATTATGGAAGGCTAAGATGTTATTATCATTTTTTGATAAGTAATTTACTGAGATGTACTGAGTTATTCCAGTAATTCCTGAGCCCCTGTGCTAAGGGGGACAGATATAGACATGAAGGAAATAACTTATATGTCAAGAAGATTTCTCCTGGAATTGTTTAAAATACTGAAAAGTTGGATACAACATATTTTCAAAATGTGAATGGATAAGGAGATGTGATATACTCACCTGTTAATGGAATATTTAAAAGGCACTGGTGTTCATAAAGAATGGGAAAATGAGGCTGAGCGTAGTGGCTGACACCTGTAATCCCAGCACTTTGGGAGGCTGAGGGGGGTAGATCACTTGAGTCCAAGAATTGAAAACCAGCCTGGGTAACCTGGTGAAACCATGTCTTTATAAAAAACACAAAAATTAGCTGGGCGTAATGGTGCACTCCTGTAGTCCCAGCTACTTGGGAGACTGAGGTGGGAGGATGGCTTGAGCCCAGGAGGTGGAGGTTGTAGTAAGCTGAGATCACACCACTGCACTCTGGCCTGGGTGATAGAGCCCAACCTTGTCTCAAAAAAGGGGGAGGGAATGTTTTAATGGTAAGTAAAAATGCAGGTTATTGTTTTAAAATACAACTATATTAAATACATCTGTAACTATCTAAATCTATCTTCATAAGAAATAGGGTATAAGATTATGCCAAATGTTTGTGTTTAGGTGGTAAATCTAGCCAGTTTTATTTATTTATTTTTATTTTTCTTTATAAGAAAATGTAAACAAATATAATATTTCTATTTTTCTATAAGCTTTCCATAAATTTGATTTTATAATATGGGAAACGAATGATATGCTGCCCTTTGATATTATTACTTTTCATAAAGTTTATTTAACTTGTTCTTAAATTCATTTGAAGATGTGTTGAAAGCTGTATCTTCCACTGCAATTGCTGAGGTTGGGCATGACAATAAGGAAATTCAGGATGCTATAGCTCTGAAGGGAGCGATTCCTCCTCTGGTGGCTCTTTTTAAAGGGAAACGTATTAGTGTCCAAATGAAAGGTGCAATGGCTGTGGAATCACTGGCAAGTCACAATCCTTTTATAGAGAAAGCATTTCTGGAAAAATCATTAACTAAATATCTTTTAAAACTCCTAAAGGTAGGAATTTTATGATTACTGGTCATTTTTCTTAGATGATATATTCTATTTTGAATTGTTAAGTGGATAGAAAAACTAAACCAATTATATAATAAACATTTTATAAAATATGCATTCCTAAAATGTTCAATGAATATTCACTGAATTAATAAAATTAAAAAAAAATAGGCATTTCAAATGGATGTTAAGGAACAAGGAGCCATTGCACTTTGGGCCTTGGCAGGACAAACACTAAAACAACAAAAATATATAGCAGAACAGATTGGATACAGCTTTATAATAAATATGCTTTTGTCACCCTCTGCTAAAATGCAGTATGTTGGTAAGTTATTTTCCTTATTTTATTTCAATTTTTTAGAGACAGGATCCTGATCTATTGCCCAGCCTGGAATGTGGTGGGACAATTACAGCTCACTGCAGCCTTGAACCCCTGGGCTCAAATGATCCTCCTGCCTCAGCTTCCTGAGTAGCTGGGATTACAAGTGTGAGTCACCGTGTCCTCTGCATATTGTAGAACAGTTGCACTGGAGTATCATACAGGTCTCTTGCTTTTCTTTATCAGGAGGTGAAGCTATCATAGCTCTAAGTAAGGACAGCAGGATGCATCAAAATCAAATATGTGAAGCAAATGGAATTGCACCATTGGTTCATTTACTAAGAATTAGTAAGATTGCTGAAGGCACACTTCTCAGCATCATCAGAGCAATGGAATCCATTTGTACTAGTTTGTATACTTATTCTCAATTTCTTAAATATCTGTAAGAACAAGAATAGACTTGGGCAGAGAAGCGGCAATTAATCTCCCTTCCTCTCTATCCTCATTGTTTGAGCCCTAAATGGCATTTAATGTATAAAAGACTACTACAACTTTAAAAATTTCTCTAAGAACTTGGTCAGTGAAAGTAATATAATTAAGAATTTTATATCAGACTTGCCCTTGAACTATGACTAGAAAGGAGAATTAGGACAATAAGCCTGGGCTATTTTGACTGAAAGCAATCTCTTTTTTAAGTTCAAAAGAAAAATAGTACTTTTGACTCTCAAGAACTATATCTTTTGGAAGATACAGAAGAGTTTCTAATGCTGCGGCACATTCTTGAAGTCTCTGTAATGATCATTTGTTTATATAACATAGAATTTCATTGCAACGGAATTGATATTTCGGGGTTCATAAGAAAATGTGGAACTGTCAGTTGTGACTCACCAAAACTTAAAATTTGGGTTCTTGCTGACCTTAATGAACACAAGATGCTGACTGTAGACTGCTTCTTGCAAACAAGAGGAAATTGAATCTTTATTTCTAGATCACTGAATTTCCTCAAAAATAGTCCAGCTGAATGAAGTATAATAGAAATTGATTCTAACATTTCTTTCTTTTTGCTTGAGAAAAGTTTCTTGCATAAATTCATTCACAATTCCAAGACAATAAGCCAGAGAAGATGTTTCTTTTCTCAGCCAGACACTGACATAAATTACAGTAATTACTAAAGTTCTAGTAAATGATAACATATATGCACGGTTGCTTGATATGCATACACATGTACATAATCAAGTTTCTTCTCAGTTCATTTCAAAGCTGTCCACATCAGCTGAGCATGTGTGGAGGGGTTTGCAGGGATAAAAATCTTTTTTTTTTCTTCAAACTTCCCTAGATATAATATGTAGGTGATTTATCTTCACTGTTCACTGAAAGTGAAGAGAAAGGCTGAAAGGCTCAATCTTGTGTTCATACTTAACCCATTTATTTAGGGTTAACCCATTTATATAAACCCACTGTATATTTATTGTGACACTTATTGACAAAAGAACAGGATTAAAATTGTCCATTTCAGTAGAAAGAAATAAGTTTCTCAACAGGAAATTGCAAGGAGTGGAAAAAAAAGAGTCGAGTTTCTCTGGTGAGATTAGGCCTGCAATTTAAAGTAGTGTCATGAAGAGACATAGTAAGAGTATCTTTTAGTCGTGTACAATTTTAGAAACCTAGAAATTTTAACTTGGTGATTTACTCTAGTCATTTTTGTAAAAATAAACTTTTTATAGAAAACAATAGAAACTATAAACGTAAGTACCTCACATATTTCTTCAATAAATGATAGCTATTATTTTTCATTGATAGTATAACATTTCTAATTTCTTTGCTTTGTGACTATTAAGAAGCCATTCACAATTCTCATAATCTCTCTATGTTTATTCACTTTGCCTTTTAAATTATTAATTCAGGCCTATTAAAATAGTGTCAATGTAGCATACCGTTTTGTAATTTACTAACCACATTACCTTAGAACACTGTGTCAACCAAAAATATCAACCTATGTTTGACTTTACCATTTACAAGATGGAAAAAAATATTACCTCACTGGTGTGGACTCTTACAGGTGTAGCCTGTCAGCCAACAATGTATTGTAGATGAAAATGCCTTTCCAATACTTATCCAACTGCTAAAAAATCACCCTTCTCCTAACATTAAGGCATATATAAAGGTTTACTTTTTTTCTGATATGATAAAAATTAGCAGAAATATAATTTAAAAAAAAACTTTGTATCTTTATGCAAGTTCATAAATGTAAAAATATTTAATCTTTTAGACTAAATCCTATTTTTCTTGGAGAAATAAGCCAAAAATAAAAATAAACAAAATCCTAGAAGTTTTAAACAAAAAGTTTGCTTCAAACCATAAGATAACTAGTAAATTTTATTAAAAGAGGATTTCTTCAAATATGACAAGAAAATTTTATGTTTTTACTCTTCAAAGAAGTTTTTACCTTAGATATTTGATTATTTATTTACAGAACTTCTTCCCTACCTCCCCAGACATCGGTTGCTAAAACTGGGCAGGGATAATGGGAATGTGTGACTTATATGGCAATATTTCTCAAATATTAGTGAATCTTGTCAGTACTATACCTCAAACCAGCCCTGCCTTTTGCCAAGCAGCCTCTGCTGGCTGGAAGTAATAGTTTTAAAGGCAGGACATTACAAAGAATTATTGTGAGTTGTTGGGGGTCATTCAGTCTTCTATTTACTTCCACTAAAATACCTTTAATATAATGACATTCACATCTATTCAAATACTTTTAACCAGGCTTTAGAAATTCAGGACATCTATAGTTGGCTAGGCAAGAAATTATAACAGCAAAAAATTATTTTATCTTCAAAATTTGGTATGTACACTGTTAGAGATGAGAAAATAGAGTAACATAGGACAATATCTAAGTAGATACCTTTTTTTTCTTTTTTTTTTTGAGACAGAGTCTTGCTCTATTGCCCAGGCTGGATGGAGTGCATTGGTGCCATTGCAACCTTCACCTCCTGGGTTCAAGTAATTCTCCTGTGTCAGCCTCCTGAGTAGCTGGGATTACACGTGTGTACCACAACGCCTGGCTAATTTTTATATTTTTGTAGAGATGGAGTTTCACCATGTTGGCCAGGCTGGTCTTGAATGCCTGACCTCAAGTGATCTGCCTGTCTTGACCTCCCAAAGTGCTGGGATTACAGGTATGAGCCACTGTACCCAGGCTGTTTCTCTTTTTAATCTTTATTTATTTATTTAAATTGAGATGGGGTCTCTCACTCTGTCAGCCAGGCTAGAGTGCAGTAGTGCAATCTTGGCTCACTGCAGCCTCTGCCTTCTGGGTGAGGTGATCCTCCCACCTCAGCCCACCAAGTAGCTGCGACTACAGGAGTGCATCACCACGCCTGGCTAAGTTTTTGTATTTTTTTGGAGATGGAGTTCCGCCATTTTGCAAAGGTTGTTCTTGAACTCTTGGGCTCAAGAGATCCTCTTACTTTGGCCTCCCAAAGTGATGGGATTATAGGCATGAGCCACCACATCTGGTGCATTTTTTTTTAAACAAATGTGTTTGTTATCAGAAAAAAAGTATCCATCTATATTTCAGTGCATATTTTCAATGAGTTCTGAACTTTGTTTAAATAGACCATAAACATATTTCAATACTTTTTCTCAAAATAAGATTCTATAATGGACAAAATGTTTTACAATAATTCAGTAATCATATTTTTCAAATTCATAATGTTATTCATATAAATGCATAGTACAGCACTTTAAAAACCTATCTGAGTCCCAATAATATACAAGATTCATCTTCCTAATGGGCTTCAGAATGTGCATTAAATGGTTCCAAAACTAGAGGAGGAAAAAATAGCAGTACTATTCCTTAGTACTACTCCCCAAAGCTTTGCTTAAATTAATAGGTGCTGCATCAAAGCCTTACAACTCAATGATCAGTAGTTAACAAGCAGTTCAAAATAGCTTTTTAATCCATGTCAAAAAATTAAAACTTTTTTTAAATATGGAAGGGATACAATTATGCACTTAAGGTAATACCTTTTTACATACTTTGTTGGCCTTTATTCCCTTCTCCAGTGCCCTCACATGGAGCTCTGTGGTTGGTCTCTGAACACAGAGAGAAAGGATATCTTCTCAGCTGTTAAAAATTATGAGGGAGTTGTTAAGTGCAGCTATTTCACTAGTAAGATAACTGGAATCAATGGATTATATTTTATCAGATTTTTATAGTATCTTTCCACAATGTATCCTATATAAATGCCTGCACAATAAAATGTGTAATTTCATAAAGCTAAGTGAAAAATAATTTCTGAAAATCACATATTTAGGTTGAAGTGGCATTTTCCTTGGCATGCATTGTCCTAGGGAATGATGTGTTACAGAAAGACTTACATGAAAATGAAGGATTTGAGTATGCTGATGTTTTTCATCTTCTTCACTCAACAGAAAAGGTAATGCCTTTACAAAATATTGAGGGTCATTTAGATAAAAATGGTTTTTATACCATATCCTCAAATTATCTTCAAGTCTTCTTCATGGCAATATTCAGTGTATTATTTAAAGAAACGACATATAAAAGATCTCTTTGTAGGTCATTAGTTTATAATAATGTGATAATACTGCTCCATATTTTTCCGAGTTGTCCCATTTCATTATTGAAATGCAGTAATTTTAATGTTTGGCGATGAGTCAAAAAACAAATCTCTTATGTCCCAAATCAAAATTTAAAAATAATTTTATGTGCTTTCAGCCCTCAGCCATTCACTTCTTATCCAATATGCTAAAGTGGTGCTTCTCAAACTATTTGTGATGAAGAAGTAGCTTTTTCCCAGCAATCTATTATAAAGGGATTTTTTTTAACTTTAAAACTTTTGAAATAATCTTAGACTTTCCAAAAATTTATAAAACTAGTATTCTTGCATATCCTTCATCTAGTTTTCCTAAATGTCAACTAGAACATTAACACTGATACAATACTATCAACTAATCTGCAGACATTATTTAAATTTGGCCAGTTTTCTCAGCAATGTCCTTTTTTTGGTTGTTTTTATATATTTTTAATTTAAAAAATATTTTAATTTTTTTAGTGTCTACTTTTTGTTCCAGAATCTAATCCAGGGTCTCATATTACATCTAGATGTCTTGTCTCTTTAGCCTCCAGTTTGTGAAGCCCAGCCCTTCTTCGTTTTTCATGATTTCATTGGTCTTTTATGATTTCGACATTTTTAATGAATCCAGACCAGTTATTTTATAGAATATCTCTCAATTTGACTTTGATGTTTTCCCGTAATTAATTGAAGTTAGACCTTTTGGCAAGAATATCACAGAAGTGATGTAGTCTTCTTGACTCACCTTCCCAGTATATCATATCATGAGGCATATAATGTTGATGTATCTTACTGGTAATGTTAACTTTGATTACTTGGTTAAAATGGGGCTGCCATATTTCTTCACTCATTGTTTTTCCTTTTGTAATGAATAAGTATCTTAAGGTGAGACACTTTGAGATTATGCAAATATTTTGTTTTGCATCACACTTTTTCTCACCAGTGTTAACATCCATTGATGCAACAGTAATTAATGTAACATTTGCCTAAGGGCAATAAAAAATTCCCTTCTTCCTTCTATGATTATTAGTTGATATTAAACGATGAAGATTTGTTTCTGTTCAGTGTTTGTTCTCAGTTTCGTTATCCCACTGTTAATGATTTTGTGGACTGTCACTTGTTCACAGGCTACACTTTCAATAGCACTACCCTAGAGAAATGAGAACTATTTTGTACAGGGCATTTCACAACCAGGAAGAAAATTGCCAGTGATGTTTCTCTCAGTTCTGTGAGATTTTAAAGGAATCAAGGAGGGTCAGGAGGTGGGTGGGAATAAAGTCATGTTATTTTTTTAATATAAAAGTTTGCTCTACTGTGGTACACAAAAAGGAAAGTGCTGCTATAAAAATATGGAAAATATTTTGGGAGGTCAAGGTGGGCAGATCACCTGTGATCAGGAGTTCGAGACCAGCCTTGCCAATATAGTGAAACCCCGTCTCTACTAAAGAGACAAAAATTAGCCAGGCATGGTGGCACATGCATGTAGTCCCAGCTACTTGGGAGGCTGAAGCAGGAGAATCACTTGAACACGCACGGGAGGTGAAAGTTGCAGTGAGCCAAGATCGCACCAGCCTTAGGGACAGCACTAGATTCATTTGGTCTCAAAAAAAAAAAAAAAAAAAAAAAGAAAAGAAATATATATGAAAAAGAATAGAGTGAGGAGACTAAATGAATGTCTGAGTGACTCTCTAAGCCACATTTTACCCTCTGTTCCTTCTAGATTTTACTCTCATTACTTTACTCATGTGCACCCTTCTTCTCTCTTTTCTTTTACTACACATTCCACTATCAAGAATTCTGCCTTCCCTCCCACTTTGTTACCACCAACTTCACTCTCTAGACCCTTGATTTGTCTTATAACAGATATATTCAGGTGGATCAGTTCTACAAATGATAGAGAATCTTAGAGAACTAGAAGGTTTAAGTATAAACTAAAGGATTTATCTGGATGTGACTAAAATTTTTAATTCTAAGGATCATCACAAGGCAAGTTAAAAGTCCTCTAGGGTTTCTTGTACTGTATTTTGTCTCAAACTACCTGCACTGTAGAGGCACATTAGTGCTCTTAGGGCTTTAGAAACAGTACTGAATTACTGTGGTCCTTCATTAAACCTATAGTGGGAGACTTCAGATTACAAAGACATGTTGTAGAAGTTAAAGGGGAGGGAGCGATGTTCAGCAGTTAAATATGTCACTGAATGAATACCTATCTTATGGATAATAACAGGAATGCAATAAAAACTAGGTCAGGAACCCAGGAACCTAGGCACATCAATATTGTCACATGGAGATGCAACAAGTTATGTGTTGTTTTTAAATTATAACTTAATTATTCTTATGCTACCAAATTAGAATAATATATGAAACGAACCATTGAGATTGATTTCCACAAGCCACATAAAATTAGTCACATTAATTTAGTTACTGTTATTGTACTCTTTTTAATAAACTCAAATATGTGGCCTAATTAATTATGAATATACTTTTGAAGAAATGTTAGTGAGCATAAAGAACAGGCAGTCTTCTCCCATTCATAAATCACAGTGTGTATAAAGTGAAAATAAGTAACCAGTGGGTATAACCACCTTGATATATAAGTAAATGAAAATATACATGAAGTAAAGAGTTTAAGACAGTTGACATTTGGGAAAAAAGGTATGGAAAAATATATCTTTCCTCAAGGATTAATTTCTAGCCCTCTGAACTGGGAATAGCCAACTTGGTTCTTATCCTGTATCTGATATTAGCCGGCATGGTAGAAGTAATCAAACTATGGGATTCAATTTGAAACATTAATATCCACTTTATAATCTAAACTATTTACTGTAGACTTCCACAGTGATACTGCAGGAGTGAACCCTACATGGAAAAGAAGTGGAAATCAGTCAAGTCTTGGCATGTTTCTCTTACTTTGCTCTATCTGACGTCCTTTGGTACATTTCCCATTGCCATTCTTTCCTACTTGGCTCTAGGTTCTATTCTGCTATCTGTTAATCCACACTTTGACCAGGACTGAGACCTAGTTTCTCAAGCTTGACTACCTAATACCTTTCCTTCTGCCTGTTGCTAGGTGACCATTGTGTGTGAGTGTGTGTGTGAGACTTTTATTATGGGAAATTTCAAATATATATAAAATGAAAGGGTAGCATAATGAATCTAAATATTCCTGTGACCCAGTTTCAGCAGTCATCAACTCATAGCCAATCTTATTTGATCTGTACATCCACTCACTTCTACTAAATTATTTTCAAAGCAAATTTCAAGCATCATATAATTTTATTTATAAATATTTCAATATGTACATGCAGCATTTTAATATTATGATTAACAGTGGCAGAAGAAAATTCAGGGCTGGCTGTGGTGGCTCATGTTTGTAATCCTAGCACTTTGGGAGGCTGAGGTGAGCGGACAGCTTGAGCTCATGGGTTCAAGACCAGCCTGGGCAACATAGCAAAACCCTGTCTCTACAAAAATACAGGAAATTAGCCGGGTGTGGTGGCACACACCTTTAGTCTCAGCCACTTGGGAGGCTGAAGTAGGAGCACTGCTTGAGCCTGGGAGGTGGAAATTACAGTAAGCCAAGATTAACACCACTGCACTCCAGCCTGGGTGACAGAGAGTGACTCTGTCAAAAAGAAAAAAGAAAAAAAGAAAATTCATTAAGATTAATGAGTTCTCTCTGTGTGTACTCCATTGTTCAAATAACATACTAATCATACAATATAATTCAATTATTTTTAATATTAAAAATAAAATTTAGTAATAAGATTTTATCTTTTGAATCTTTCTGGAAGATATACCACACTTATACAGCTTTGGCAAGCAGACTAATTCTACAGAAGAAACTAGCTTTTGCTGTCTGCCCAGCTTCAGAATGTTAAAATATGATTCTTAAAAATATTTTTCTCCTATTCTTCCTTAAAATATAGTACAACGGAATTTTACAAATGAATTTAAGAGACGGTATGAATACCTAATGAGGCATGGAATGCAATAGATAACATGCTATATAAGATAAGTTTTGATTTATCAACTCTACTTTGAAATGTTGAAAATTATAACATTCTGGAGTAACTCTGTTACCTATTTTCTCTAGTAATGTCATATTCTACTCCCAGTGATAAAAATGTAATATATTTTAATGTGCCAAAGTCTATTATGTTGAGTAACATGATCAATGAAGTTCACTGTAATGCATGTTTCTCCTATTTTTAGGATATTTGCTTAAGAGCAGGGTACGCATTAACCCTTTTTGCCTTCAATATTCGCTGTCAGCAATACATAATATTGGAAAGTGGAATAATGACCATATCTATTTTTGAACCTTTTCTTGAATCACCAATTGAAACTGAGAAGGCAATGGCAGCATTTCAGGTATAAAATCAGAGATTAACTCCTCAAATTAATAAATATGTCATTTTGTGAAAACTTGAAAATTACAACAATTTGGAGGCCCAGAAAAATGTTTACTTGTTTGTAAAAATTTAGTACTTTGTATATAAGCCCCTCTACCTCATAAAAACTTGGGAGCTATGAGGATTTCTTCATTAATATAGAATTTTACAGGTTACAAGATGATTATGCCTTTATGCCTCATCTGATGTTTATAATAAGCCTGTGGGGTTGACAATCGGTAGTATTATTTTCATTACCCCATATTAAAGGACATAGGTAGGCTGGTCACAGTGTCTTATGCCTGTAATCCCAGCAGTTTGGGAAGCCAAGGTGGGCAGATCACCTGAGGTTGGGAGTTTGAGAGCAGCCTGACCAACATGGAGAAATCCCATCTCTACTAAAAATACAAAATTAGCCAGGTGTGGTGGCCCATGCCTGTAATACCAGCTGCTTGGGAGGCTGAGGCAGGAGAATTGCTTGAACTTGGGAGGCGTATGTTGCAGTGAGCTGAGATTGCACCATTGCAGTCCAGCCTGGGCAACAAGAGCCAAACTCCATCTCAAAGAAAAGAAAAATGAAAAAAGAAATAGGTAGAAAAATATGTTAGCATCAAAGACAGGTTTTCTAACTGTAAATCTTTGGTTGATCACATTGACCCTTCGACCTAATAATGATTGTATGTATCTGGGAAGTCTTATTCTCTCTATTTTCTATCCTGTGCCTTTTAAGAGAAGTAGTGTCTATGAACTCATATTGAAAGGGTGCAAAAGTTGCAAGCTTTGTAGAAAGAATAATAGCACTTCCTATGGTCACTGCCATGACCAGACAGGAACAAGTGCTCTTAACTCTCTGCCCCCCACATGCTTCTTCTATTGAATCCTCTAAATACTTCATTTACTCTTCTAAGAAGTATCAAAGGAATAAAAAATTTTTTAAAAAATTACAAAAGTGTGGCCAGGTGCGGTGGCTCACACCTGTAATCCCATCACTTTGGGAGGCTGAGGCAGGTGGATCATGTGGTCAGGAGTTTGAGACCAGCCTGGGCAACATGGTGATACCCAGTCTCTACTAAAACACAAAAAAATTAGCTGGGCAGGTGGTGGATGCCTGTGATCCCAGCCACTCAGGATGCTGAGATGGAAGAATCACTTGAACCTAGGAGGCAGAGTGAGCTGAGATTGTGCCACGGCACTTTAGCCTGGGCGACAGAATGGGACTCTGTCTCCAAAAAAAAAAAAAAAAAAAATTACAAAAGTGTAATTAGAGAAGCTGAGTAGAAAATGTGTAAAAATTCTCTGCTTTTTTTCTCTTTTTTCTGTTTCCAGATTGTCGAATGGGCTAAAGTCATTAGAGATGTGGACCATATTACTTTGTCTGCAAGAGGTGTTACTATTTTAGTTGACAGTCTGTATTCAGTTCAGACTTCTACTACTGTCTTGACAGGTAAGAAATGACTAGAAGTCAATTTTAGCCACATAAAACTACTTTCAAAAACACTTTACTGTAATCTGAATAATAATGAAATAATACACCTGATACTCTGCCACAAGAACTCATGTTTATCTACATGGAACTCCGCAGCAAGTCTACAGGAAACAATGGGTATCTACTCTGTGCCCAAAATAGAAGCAGAGTAACTCTGAACACAGACTTTTTGCTTTCCTACTTACTTTTCCAAACCTTAATTATTTTTTTCCAGGATATAAATGAGAATTCAACTATGAGCTACCAAAAGCAAAATCAAAAAACTGATTTTTAATGGTGGTGGCAGATTTACACAGATGTACTTCTGACTGTTATTTTTTTTTGTCCAGTTGTGCACATTTTGCTAACACTGAAAAGTTATTTATGTCACTATGTAACAAAGCAAAGCAAGATGGTCCCATAGAGTTCTCAACACATTTAATGCTATTGCATAACTGCATCTACTGTAGACCTAACCCAACAGCTCACACGTATTAGGTGATCAGTAATATTTAATTGACTTGTTATACCTCTTTCAAAGTAACATAAGACAGGGTCAGAATTATAGTAATATGCAGTAACCAATACCATTATAAAGAAACAAGTAAGTATTTCTTTTTTAACTAAAATGGATCTCTAAAGGAAACTTCACTTGATGCCATAGAATTCTATTTTTATGAAGTATATTTTCATAGCAAGGAAGAAAAAATGAAGCAATGAAAACTTTCTGATGGAAACTAGCTAGAAAAAAATGTTTAAAGAAGTTATTAAATATGTTTTAATCTAAATAACATTATTAATTCTGTGTTACAGTAATTCTGTGACTCTGAAAAACAACTGTAGTGGGTATACAGTCCACAAACTCTTATGGGAAAGAAATGCCTTATTACACTAGCTTTTAAATATTAAATTAATTTCCCCAGGACGAGGAGAAATGAATCTCAGAAATTACTGGACTTTCTCTGCACTCCATAACCAGAGTCATATGCATGTCCAGGGTATCTCCGGCAAAGCCCGATATTCAGGCCTCAGGTATAGTGTAAAAGTAACTGATGTGCTTGGTGTCAAGTTGACATGGTTCCCAGAAGAGTCTTCAAAGGCACAGAAGTTTTTAAGAGACTGTGATTTCTGTTACCAAGAATTCGGTTTTCCTATATATACCATTTAGCTATTCTCAAAGTGGAGAATACTCCTTTGAGAACTATAAACCTTAGTTCTCTTTCTTAGCTGCTCCCTTCATTTCCATTTCTAACTTCCCATCTTTAAAGGCTCTTTTTAACTTTAAATAGAGCTTACCTTTAGACTATTTTTGCTTTAGATGATACAACCCAGTTCTCCCCATTCTGAGGAAATAAACACAAAAAATTTCTTGGCTTATAATAGAGGCCAGACAAAAATACAAGGAAAACAAAATCTCAGGTCATATAAAGTATCCACACACAAATCTAAAAATACATTTTTATCTTCAAACACTAATATACATAAAATAGTAAGTTGGTAGCTACACAATTATTGGGACACTTTATTATTTTAAATCTGAAAACATTTCTTTTTATGGTAAAAACATCAATGAATTTAAACCCCAGTAAGCAATACATTGTTTGATTTTAAAGTATTAATAAAGCTTAAAGCCATTTCAACTGCAAAAAGGACATATTAAATGTTCTTATGATAATCAAATCATTATGTTCATAGTTATTTTTAAAACCCTAAAAACTTCAAAACAAAATATATTCTGAAGCTATGGAAGAAGGAAAACCTCTGATTTTCAAAATTGTCCACCTTTATATAAACCTAGTTATACTGTTTGTGACAGAAAACCAAACTGTAATTTTGGGGCGTTTATTCTATATTTACAATATGCATGCTTTTCCTCAGTGCTGCTTCACTGACAGAGGTGTCTTGTGACACAAACCTTTTTCAGTGCTATGTGCAATTAATGAAAATACTGTATGTTTATATCAATTAAATAACACAAACGTTTTTCTTGTTTAATTTATAGGGAATTTAATAGCAAGCCTGGCTCATTCTAGAGCTGGTATCCCAGAAGCATTTACCGCATTAGGAACAGTCCAACAGCTCTGCTATCACTTGTACCCAGGGACAGAAGAGGTAAAAACAAAAAGCAACCAAATCTAAAATTAAATATGCTAAAACTATAATTTACCTTTCTGTGTACTAATTTTTCCACTGGTTGACTATGTTATATAATATAGTTCCTGTTCCTAACTCAAAATTAGATGACTTTTCTAATACTAATTAGTCATACATATCTGCCATCTACAATTTTAATTCCTATAAAAATATACATTTGTTTTAACTCTAAGACTTAGGATTTTAATAACAAAAGCAGTATAAAACAACTGTAATTAAAGATTTAAAAAGAACTAACTACCTGTTCAAATTAGTTTCTGATTTAGAAAACAAAAAGCCCTATATAATAGGTGATCTCAATGCTGGAATTGAGTCAATTTATAAATACGTTGATGACAAAGAAATTTATAATTAAAATGTTTGTCAAGTAACAAAAACTGATGACTCTGATCTAAGTCATTTCTATGATTTGGAATGAATGAAAATGGAATACATAGGATAGTTTTCCTTATGTGCCAAGCAGGGTTAGATGTAGGAGGCTGTGCTGGTCACAGTAGTGGCTTGCCTCTGAGTGTTCCCCAACTCTCTTCCACTAAGGTCTAAAGCAGTGTTACTCCACCTTTAGAGTATATCAGAATCACCTGGTGGGCCTGTTAGATTGGCCCCATTCCTGGAGTTTCTGAGTCAGTACATTTGAGGTGGGCCCTAGAATTTGCATTTCTAACAAGTTCCCAGCAGAACTGCAGGTCCAGGGTTCAAGGTGTAGAAGACAGATGAGCATACAGAGCAACTGGATGCCAACATAAAGACCAATATGTTTACTCGATGAAATTTTTATGCTACCAACTATCATATTCCATAACAACTGCCCAGGAGCATACTTTAATTAGTCATATGACCAACCTATGGGTCATAGACAGAGGGAATTTTCCTCAAAGAACTATTTTTTTCTAGAGTCCTGTGGTCTGATACTTGCGCTTCTTTCTTTGTTTTGAACAGTGGAAAAGTGAGTTGCTTTAGTAACATCTGAATGTTAAAAAAAAAGTAATAAATAAATAAATGAGTTGCTTTCCCTAAGATTTCTGTTGCCAAGAGTTCAGGTTTTCTACATGTACCACTTAGCTATTCTCCAGTCAAAGTATCTGGTCCTACTTCTGTGAGAACTATAAACAAAATAATTAAACAAGAGTTTCTAGGAGTGGAACCCAGGCATAACTGTCAAAGTTATATGGGTGATGCTAATGGACTGTCAAGGTTGTGCTCCACTGCCTTAGTTCAAACTCAAAGGTTGTTTCTTGGGCAGTACATTAGAATTACCTGTCACACCTTAAAAAAGAAGAAGGAATTTCTATTTCTAAGGCCTTGAGGAATCGCCACACTAGAAATTCCATTTGACCCAGCAATCCCATTGCTGGGTATATATCCAAAGGACTATAAATCGTTCTGCTATAAGGACACATGCATGCGAATGTTCATTGCAGCACTGTTTACAATAGCAAAGACCTGGAATCAACCCAAATGCCCATTGATGATAGACTGGATTGGGAAAATGTGGCACATACACACCATGGAATATTATGCAGCAATCAGAAATGATGAGTTCGTGTCGTTTGTAGGGACATGGATGAATCTGGAGAACATCATTCTCAGCAAACTGACACAAGAACAGAAAATGAAACACCGCATATTCTCACTCATAGGCGGGTGATGAAAAATGAGAACACATGGACACAGAGAGGGGAGTACTAAACACTGGGGTCTACTGGGGGGAAAAGGGGAGGGCCAGTGGGAGGGGGAGGTGGGGAGGGATAGCCTGGGGAGAAATGCCAAATGTGGGTGAAGGGGAGAAAGCAAACAAAGCACACTGCCATGTGTGTACCTACGCAACTGTATTGCATGCTCTGCACATGTACCCCAAAACCTAAAACGCAATTAAAAAAAAAAAAAAAAAAAAAGAAGAAGGAAAAAAGCCCAGATTCTACCCTTAAAACATTTTGATTTACTTGGTGGGCTTTTTTTAAAAAAAGGTTCTAAAGGTTCTAAAATGTAGTTAAGATTGAGAACTAATAGAAATCAATGGCAGTTGACAGCTCTCGGTAAAAATATGACTGTTAAGCTTCCATCTATACATTGCCATTTGTTTGCATAATTTGCTTACACTTGCTCCCTCCCTTACAGAGACTTTCCTATGCAGTAGCTAATTAGATCACTAAGATATTTTAAGAACAAAGCCCATTGGTTAAGAAAGAACTGTTTCTTCATTTAGGTTCACACAGCTTGTTCCACAGCTCTTGGCTACTTAACATAAAATGCTTTCTGCATTCTATTAAAGGAATGCAGGAATGAACCTAATCAGTTCATTCGTATAAAAAATAATATCAGCAGAGATGCGAGTATTAACCCAGCATTTTTAAAGGAATTTCAAATGCAGCAAATGAAGAGACTTCCTTCCTTAAGGTATGGCCCTATATTAGAAGTCGCAGTGTGAAATTATTGATAGAGGAAACTTTAAGGAGGTTTAGTAAGAGCAAACAAGAGGAACTATTCTTTATATGACTGTATCTTCTATATAGCAGAGGATAAACTTCATTCTAAATGGCCATTGCCAAAACCTGTTTTAATTGCAACTTAGCACCAGAGTTGTGGGTGCAGACAAGAATACACCTAGATCTTGAAGATCCTCTCTGGCCAGGACTATTCATATTTTAGAAAGTTTTTGGGAGACTGGTGACCACCACATCTGATTGAAGAAGTCACTTTTTAGTAGACTAGGGGTGCATTTGACAGTTCTGAGACAAGCCCATCACCCCGACCTTAGCATCAAATGGGTCTTCTAGACTAGGCCAAATTCCCAGGGTAGAAACAGGGCTAAATCAGGCTTAGTGGTTAAAATTACGGTGAAGTTTTCCAGGAACTTAATTCAGAGGATTTCAACTCACTGTTGTGGTTTCATCACAAACTTAAGTCCCCTCCAAAAAGGAAGAGAGGAGAATCTCTTTACTATGGGTAAATTATCTGTTCTGTAAATGGAACTGAATTACAAGTTTTCTCTGCAAGTAGTGATATTCATACATAGGAAATAGAACTACTCAAAATACATGATTAACTCTATGATAATGGAAGAGAATAGGATCCAATAGAGCATCATGGTTATCTATGATTGTAGATAGCCATGTACAAACATAGATTCTCCAGCAATTTTAAGTACAGAGAATGATGAGTACATCTTTGGATCTACTTGAATTCTTTAAAAAACTAAAAGTCTGAAACGGGTGACCTAATTTTATGATAAGCCAAGGAACCTATATTATAACTGTTATAATTGATAATGCTAAATAATTTTCATTGGTTCAAAGAATTACAATAAATAATGTAAGTAGTATTTTACACATCACTCCCACGGCTAGCCCATGTGATGACTTTGTGGGAAGTAGAAAAATATACCCCTTTTTCAGACCTATCTTCTTCAAAACCCAGCTGAAGTCTCTTTTTCTGTAATACTTCCCCTGATCACTTCAAGCAGATTTAATGTTCTAAATGCTTACAGTAAATAAGTGAGTAAATAAGTGACTGAATATAAAATACTTACATGTAACATGCAGTTAGTGGAGGTAACATGTATGAATTAGGTCATTAGGCATTAAACCTGGTACCATTATTTCTTCATATATTTTTTTCTGGGTGCATTATGTCTTTATTTATTTTAATAATGACGAAAATGTTTTTCTTTTAGTCTGGAGATAAATGGAGGACCATTCACAATTCCTGTCTTTAAAAAAGGTAATTGATTGTTCTTTTATCTATAAAGTACCTCCTACTCCAGATACTTTATAATTCTGTATTCCATCTCTAAAAATTATTTGAAAAGTAGGCCGGGTACAGTGGCTCATGCCTGTAATCCCAGCACTTTGGGAGGCCAAGGTGGGCAGATCACTTGAGGTCAACAGTTCAAGATCAGCCTGGCCAATATGGTGAAATCCCATCTTTACTAAAAACAAAAACAAAAACAAAAACAAAAATCAGCCGTGCAGGGTGGCACATGCCTGTGATCCCAGCTACTTGGGAGGCTGAGGCAGGAGAATTGTCTCAACCTGGGAGGCAGAGGCTGCAGTGAGCCAAGATCACACCACTGTACTCAGGCCTGGGTGACAGAGTGAGATTCCATGTCAAAAAAAAAAAAAAAAAGATAGAGGCTATCCCCCCAGAAAAAGTTTACCTACATACTTTGCTTTTGTAATTCCGTCTACCTAAAGTATCTTCTTATTTCCAAGTCCATGATAATCATTTTCTTTAAGGCCTTCCCTACTAGTATCACTTGAAAGTGATCCCTGTCTTATTTTGCTTTTCTCAAACCATGCATAGAAATAAGTCATTATTTAAACAACCTGTAAGTATGACTTAAATTATGGTCTTGCTATTGTTGTTTCATGTACAACTTACTTATCTGAATTCTTAGGGCTGAGACTTTTTTTTCAATTGATATTCTATTATATAGTTTTGTACATAGTTGGTACATTATACTTGAATAGACTAGATTTGCAGAGATCAGGGTCTAGATCTCATTTGTCCCTTCCAGGGAATAGGAATTACTTGTTAATTTCACATATATTCTTGGTGCTTGTTCATGTAGGACCACAATCAGTCCTTACTTGGAATGTTGTCCTATCATGAAAATCAGGGATAGAAACATTCAGAAGTCAAGATCAGTTTGCTAGAGTCACAAACAGAAAGGGAGAGAATTTAAAGACAGTAAAAGGAGAGGAAACAACTTCATGTATTCAGCGAGTTTATGAGGGAAGCTAGGTATGTGAGGAGGCTATGTAGAAATATACATAGAATATCAATATAGAAATCGATATATTCATTTTTTAATATAGCTTCTTTAATGTAAGAGTAATTTACACACAAGAATAAAGTCAGTCTCACTCTTTCTTCACTTTAACACTGGTTTCTAAACAGCAACCTGTTTATCAGTCATGATCTGATGAAGTCTTCACAGGCTTGTGGTAACATAAGAAAAAATAAGGACAAGGTATCAAGTTTCTGATGAAATTCATTTCATTCAATGTCAAGTCTATCATTTGAGATGATGCCTTTTATATTTTCTTTTGGTACTAAAATATTCTTTATTTTACATAATGATGTTTAAAGTAGTATTTGTTCTTTTATTGGTGATAACTTATTAACAAGCTAGCAAACCATATAGTGGTCCCCATAAATTTTTGGCCTCTGACATCTAAAAGTCTGGAAGCACTGATCGGTTCTCTTAGTATGTTTTAGTTATGTAAAGAAAATAGAACTGCATAGAACTAGAAGTAATGAGACTACACCTAGGGCTCTCAGGAAAGACATTTAATTGAGGCTCTCTTAATTTTTAGGGAGAGAGCACCGAAGAAAATTAGAACCTAAAATTCAATCAAAAGATTCTTTGACTTTATTGCCTCCTGTAACTAACTTCATGGGACACTTCAAAGCAACAAAAAAGACCAAGGATTCCCATAATTTTTCTTTTTCACCTACGATTACATCAGATATCACAAATGTATCAAGACCAAGAATAGTGTGTTTGAGCCAACTTGGGAAACACGTCCGGAAAGCCAACCCAGAGCCTGAAGAAAGCTAATAAAAGCACTTAGTATGAAAGGATTCCTGAGCCATCTTTTAAAAACTTTTTTATTTTTAATTATGGTAATATGCAAATAACACAACTGAATAATCTTTTTGAATAGAAGTTCTTGATCTCGATACTAAGCAGATTTTCCTTAGCATGTCTATGGAATTTAGTATCAGGTCAGAGTTACGGTTTCAAAAACTAAGTAGGATTTCTGTAAAGATAAGTAGGATCTCTGCTTCCTGGGTTCAGGCAATTCTCCTGCCCCAGCCTCTTGAGTAGCTGGGATTACAGGTGCCTCCCACCATCCCCGGCTCATTTTTGTATTTGTAGTAGAGATGAGGTTTCACCATGTTGGCCAGGCTGGTCTTGAACTCCTGACCTGAGGTGATCCACCTGCCTTGGCCTGCCAAAGTACTGGGATTACAGGTGTGAGCCACTGGGCTCAGCTTCGCTGTGTACTTTAAAGCTCCCCTTTTCTCCATCCACTTGCTCAATTGCCTCCATACAGTCTGAGGCTCTTGCTATAATCCATTCTCTACCTGGGCTGCAGTTAGATTGTAAGCATATATTAATAAGCAGTTATTTTCCCCAATATGTACTTAGGGCTTTCTATGTGGCACAGTCCAGAGCCAGTGAGTGAGTGAATAAATGATTATTTATTTATTTGTTTGAGATAGCGTCTTGCTCTGTTACCCAGGCTGGAGGGCAATAGTGCAATCACAGCTAACTGCAGCCTTAAACTCCTGGGTTCAAAGCAATCATCTCACCTCAGCCTCCTGAGTGGCTAGGGCTACAGGTCCTCAGTCTCTGTTATGCTGAGTGTGGTGGTACAGGCCAGATGCCCTAGCTACTCAGGAGGCTGAGGTCTCTTCTCTGTTGCCCAGACTGGTCTCAAATTCCTGGTCTCAAGTGATTCTCCTCCATTGGCCTCCCAAAGCTAGGATGGCAGGTATGAGCTACCATGCCTGGCCCAAAGCTTGTGTTCTTAACCACTGAAAAATAAGAGACCTCTTTAATCTTCATATTTAATTCTAAATTATCTTAATGGTGCTGAGTCACAACTTTCTGGTGGATCAACTAAACTAATAGGAAATGTGGAGGGAAATTGTATATTTTATACTAGAAATCAATACATATTCAAATGATAAATTGTGTTATCTAGCACCATTAAGGATAAGAATTCATAAGAATGGACATATTAAGCTTCTATATATATTTTTAAAGCCTTTAGAGAGCAACTTTTGAGCTCTGAAACTGGTTTCAGGTATGCTCAATACTGTATTTTAGAACTATTTTCAGGTTATCAGAGTTTCTTTGCATTCAATTCCAGGAATTTCCTGAGTATCTCGGCCCAGCCAGACCATCTTACCACTCCTAAAATATATACTATTTCTTTCTCCTAAAGTACAATGCCCCCCATAAATATTATTTTTATTACTCTACATTTTTTTACTTTTTTTAAATGATATGTGAGAAGTTGGCCCTTGGAGGCTGAAGTTGGAGGATTACGTGAGGCCTAGAGTTTTAGTCCAGCCTGGGCAACATAGCAAGATGCTGTCTATAAAAATAAAAATAAAAAAGTATGTATGAGAAAGGCCTCCAGAAATAGAGGGTTATATTCAAAGAACAGTACATTTAGTTACTTTAATCAAGGCAGAAAAACAGTGATAAGCTTATGATATTTGCAGTATAAAGTCTTGATTCAAAAAAAATTAACCAAAAAAACTCCCAGATTTATTTCCATCTGATTATATACAATTTCTCAAATAACTGATGTGAAAATATATGGACAACTAAAGTGTACAATACATACTTCAGGGATTACTTACATGTTAAAATTGTAAAACCTCAAATTGTATGTATTTTAAAAAATGCATAGACATCCTATTTACTCCACAGAGCATACCTAATAACAAACTCTTTTTTTTTTTTGTCTTTTTGAGATGGAGTCTTGCTCTGCCACTCGGGCTGGAATGCAGCAGTACGATTTTGACTCACTGCAACCTCTACCTCCTGGGTTAAAGTAATTCTTCTGCCTTAGCCTCCCAAGTAGCTGGAATTACAGGTGAATGCCAGCCACCATGCCTGGCTAATTTTTTCTATTTTTAAGAGATGGGGTTTTACCATTTGCCAGGCTGGTCTCCAACTACTGACCTCATGATTTGCCCACCTCAGCATCCCAAAGTTCTGGGATTACAGGCAGGAGCCACTGCGTCCAGCCCATAATGAACTCTTAAAATTAATAACATATTATGTTAGAGAAAGTCAGCTTTTGTCTTGATTTGGAAATGTCTGCTTTTATATGACTTTGATCTAAAATTGCTCTCTCACACACACCTGTAATCCCAGCACTTTGGGAGGCTGAGGCAGACATACTGCCTCAGCTTAGGAGTTCAAGACCATCCTAGGCAACATGGTGAAATCTTGTCTCTACTGAAAATACAAAAAATTAGCTGGGCGTAGTGGTGGTCACCTGTTGTCCCAGCTACTCGGGAGGCTGAGGCAGAATTGCTTGAACCCAGAAGGCAGAGGTTACAGTAAGCCGAGATCACACTATTGAACTCCAGCCTGGGTGACAGAGGGAGATACTGTCTCCAATAAAAAAAAAAGGAAAGAAAAGAAAAACAAAATAAAATTACTCTCTTATTATAAAGTCAGGTTCATGTTTCAATAGAAGCCAAAAAATAGAAAAATAGCTTCTCCTATTCTGATTTGAGGAAGTGGGGATAAGTCCTAGGCCCATATGATACAGGGCCAGGATTCGGCAAAATTACTGTACTTCTTTCAAAGTTTTTCTTTCTACCTGCCAACATCAATACATTCCTTTCTCAAAAGATGTTTTATTTTGGTTTTTAATAATTAAAAAAAAAAAACTATGTTCTCTTGTAAGACTTTAATATTACAGTATCTCAGAAGAGCAGGTAAAACATCAAACATAAGAAAAAGAAATAACAAAAGAAAGTCTTGATAAATAATTAATATTATATTTCTTCTACAATTTGATATACAAAACAATAAAGACTTAATTTTAACATTAATACTACCTGTAGGGATTTTTTTGAACAGCAAAAATCATAGGTTCATTTTTAATCGTGGTACTTTTATGGCAGCGTCTTCAACTTCTTTTGATATGTCTACTCCAAGAGGACATCTACATCAGAACCAGACAAATCACATTATTTATTTGCTTCATGATCCATCACTAGGTCTGCAGACTATTTGCTTAGAATTCTGACGGTATAAGTATCTAATGTATTATTCATCATATGTGGTGATGATTCTTAAACACATACAAATATAGTGGGACCTCAAGTCAGGATCATGAAAGCTAGCCTCATTAATAAGAAATCTAAAATTTGAGACTTTTATTGAGAACATCTGTTTTCTTGTTCTCAAATACTGTACATAAGTAAGTTAAAACATAAAAGAAAATATAAAAATAAGAAAAATATCTTATAAATCTCTACAGAGCTAAAAAGGTAAAACATTTTTGCCACACAGCTAAAGTCAAACCTGCATTCATTCACATTTTACAAATGTCCCAGGTTTCTATAGGTTCTTCTCTATAGCACAACTGTCTAGTTATGGAATATAATGTTGACAAGTTTGTTTGTTTGTTTTTGTTTTTTTGTGAGATGGAGTCTCGCTCTGTCACCCAGGCTGGAGTGCAATGGCATGATCTCAGCTTACAATCTCAATCTCGTGGATTCAAGCAATTCTCCTGCCTCAGCCTCCTGAGTAGCTGAGATTAAGGCACCTGCCATGACACCCAGCTAATTTTTTGTATTTTCAGTAGAGACAGGGTTTTACCATGTTGGTCAGGCTGGTCTTGAACCCCTGACCTTAGGTGATCTGCCCACCTCAGCCTCCCAAAGTGCTGGGATTATAGGCATGAGCCACTGTGTCTGACCAATGCTGACAAGTTTTAAAACATCAGATGAAAAGATGTTTAAAATATAATTATGTTAGATTATGAAAATAATTGTCTTTTCCTATTCCAGAATTAACTTGTAACAGAATTATATAGTAAATTGAAAAACCAGCTAGGCATGGTGGCTCACACCTATCATCCCAGCACTTTGGGAGGCCAAGGTGGGTAGGTCACTTGAGGTCTGGATTTCGAGACCAGCCTGGCCAATGTGGCAAAACCCAAAAACTAAAAATACAAAAAATTAGCTGGACGTGGCAGTGTGCACTTGTAATCCCAGCTACTCAGGAGGCTGAGGAATGACAATCACTTGAACTCGGGAAGCAGAGGTTGCAGTGAGCTGAGAATGGGCCACTGAATTCTAGCCTGGGTGACACAGTAAGATTGTCTCAAAAAAAAACAAGTAAAAGAAAAAATGGTGCTATTTGTTGAAACTTTGATTTGGGAGAGGAAATAAGGCTTGCAGGAAATAGCTATCTTTTGGCCAATTCTCAGCTGCCTGTGTAAGAGCATAATCACAACCCATTTTCACACCTGAATGCTTTCTGCAGGTTTCCCTTAAATTTCCCAGCATGTTAGCTGGTTTTGAGATGTTATTGACATCGTAAAAGTCCAGGCCATGAACATGGTTTCCACTCTAATTCCAAAGGAGGGAATTCATCATCCTTACTCATGGCTTGTTTCTAACTCATCTAAACTTGTCAAGATTTTTATAATTTGATACTAAAGCAAAAATATTTCTTATACAGTATCAACCTTAACTAGGTTTATGAAAGACATTTATGTCACTTTCCTTCAAGTACCACCAGAATGTCAATGAAAACCTCATATAAAAAAACAAAATTCAGGCACTGACCTAAGTAATGTAACTTGCATAAAGAGAATGAATAGTACCACATACTTTGGTTCATAGCGGATGTCTTCTATGTCATGTAAGATGCCCACGCCAGCACGTAATCTTTCAATACCGTTCCTAAATAAGAATTATTAAAATAAAATCAATAGCTCTAAGATCTGAAGGAAGAAGGTTTAGTATGATAAAATGGCAATTAATATTTAGATGATTATGAGTGAAGCACATTTATCTTGTGGCCTACCATGCAATCATAATGCCATTATCAGTGCACAGTCTGGGAGGAGGACACAACAAAGTGCACTGTGTTGCGTTTGTTAAAATTTCCAGAGCTCTGCGGATATAGAAGTTACTTGCAACACCTCCAGATGCAACCTGAAGGAATTGAGAAAACCAAAAACTATCATATATGGATATGAATCAAGCTGCTAATTAAACCTGGGGGGAAAATATCAGCATTGTACAATAATAAACTATCTCATTTTGAGATGGGTAATGGGCAAGGTATATATCTATATAATAAAAATTTACAAAGAAAAAAATCACTAACATTTCTAATAGCATAGAAAAATTACTAGCATTTTTTGTAATTTTCTTCACACCTTTCGTCTCAATATTTAATATAATTACCATCAAACTACTATTTTAGAACTTGAATTTTTTATTTTGTGCATCTTACTATATAACTCTTAAAAAATTATTCTTTGATATCCATGTAAAAGTCCATCTATGAATTACTACCATTTAAACATTTTCCCACTTTAGTTTATAATTTTTAAAGAATAAAGTTTCAGATACAGTTAAACAGGATGTTTATCAAGGTTTTTAAGCACGATTAAAGGGATTTCAGCTGGTACAATGGTAGTGGGTTATCAGAACTTACTAACATTAGTGTTTCATGAAAGTTTTTGTACAACCTCCCACAGCTAAATTTGACTGGCTTATTTAAAAACAAAAAGGGATTTCATCAAAGGATGAAGGAAATCTGCCTATTTTTCTAAAAATAATGACAGCAATTACTGCATTTGCTTTCTTTATTGTAAACCCTCTTTTAAATCCAATAAGAAGATGCCGTCTTGGACTTTTGTGCTATAAAAGCTATATAGATGTTTCATGAAGCTGTCAAACTAGTACAAGAAATGGCGTTAGTCTTTCCTATCCTGCATGATTTCATACTGTCAGGGCTAGCACAGCGTATAAAGATCTGTTCACCTAAACACAAGGTCAAGGTCTTGGGGAAAAAAAGTAACATATTGCAAAGTGTAAGTATTACTATAAAATGAGATAAAACTTACCAGTACTGCATTATTTTGAGGTAACAAGTTTCTCTGCTTACAAAACAGAATAGCTCGATGTGTTCTTTTCACAATATGACATGCTGTTATGTGCTGTACTGCAGCAGCAATGTCTGCGGCTGAAGACAGGATTTGTCCCTGCTCAATACCTGCAGAAATGAGCAGGTATTTTTAGAAACAATCCAGGAATATTTATCTGTTCAACTTTACTAATTAGAAATATACCTTCCTCTTTTTCCTTTTGTATTATTATTTTATTAATAAGGTGTTGAAGTCCAGTAAAAGAAAAATCACAATTTTTAGCACGTTTCAAGGGAGGTGTGATGTCAAAATGAAATCTGTTTCCTTGTTTGGCCAAATGTTCTATGGCTTTCCCACCACTCATGGTGGAGCACTCTGGATGTTTGATTAAAGAAAGTCTTCTTGCCACCTATCAAAAAAATATATATTTTTAATGAGTCATAAAATTAAATACTTTGAAACCAAAAGAGGCAAAGAAAATAAGTTGAAAATTGCTAACAGGCTCCCCCTCCACCAAATGAATAAAACATGCTATACCTTGAGAAATATAGACTATAGCTGATATTCAGGTAAGCAGACAACCCTGTTCCTTATGATGACCTGAACAGCAAGGTCAATCACTGCCCCTGTCTATGTTTGCTCCTCTATTGGGGTTGGAAAATAGGCTTGAAGTTGACAATGACTGCTTAATGATGAACATCAGTAATAAGAACTTGCCCTATACTTTCTTCCTATCAGTTCACTGTGGGAAGCAGTGTTTTTTTTCGTTTTGTTTTGCTTTTTTTGCCCCCTATATATGGCAGTAGCCTCTGCAGTATTCTAAAACAAAGGCGGAGAAAAAATCCTGTCTCTGGTGTCAGCAATTATGTGATTTAATCATAGAACTCTGTGTCCTTATGTTAATCTTTATATATTCTCTTATTTTACCTTTTTGCAGTATGTTAGTTTACAAAGCACTTTCATTCACGTATATTATTTGACAAAATACATAACTGTATCTGCCAACTATTTCAGCCTTTATGTATAGATACTAACCTCTTACCATTTTATTAGGAAAGGCTAAGAAAGAATTCTAAAATTGTGTACTACTTTTAATTTTTTCTTACCATATGTGAATTTTTTTCAGTTTACTAAGATATCATTCAGAAATATTTAGATGAATGGTGGTAGCACATCTATTGCTACTTAGTTGAAATGGACAACATAACAAAAAAGAATGGAGAAATTAATTCTTAAATAATTACCTTGTCAAGCATGTCACCTGGTGCTATGTCCAAAGACTTTCCAAGAAGCAGAAAATCTGAAACTCCTTGAACTAATGCCAGCAGACAGTGACCTCCAGAAATCAAAAGAACTAAAAAAGGAAATTCTACTTTACTGGTCAATCTAATAGTAAGTGCATGAGCCTCCATATGATGAATGGGAATGAATGGCTTTTTTAACTGTCCTACCAGCTGTAAGCTAAACGATAAGCCCACTCCCAGGCTTAAAGCAAGTCCTGGTTTTATGGTAGTTGCAATTGCTGAGAGGTCACTTGGAGAGATGCTACTGGCAGAAAGAGCTTCCTGTACTATTCGTTGAATATTTTCTCTGTGAAGCTGTTGAGCTACTGGAGGAATAATTCCACCTGTTCTGAAAGAAACAAAGACAGCTTTTTGTAGTTTTAAGAATGGAAAAATGAAGAAAAATGATAATATATTACAACTAAACACATGTCCTCAAGTTAATCATTATATAGCTGAGTAAATCAAGTATTTTCTAATGTGTACTTTCTAATGTAGCACACTGTGGTTATAACTCAGTATGCAGTAATTAAGGGGATAATGTTTCTGACTTTTTCAACTTATTCACAGCAAACTCACATGGATTTATTTGTTGATTAATGAAATCACCAAAACAATCTTGCACAGCATTCCAAACAAGTTTTGAGCATGGGAAGGACAGGAAAAAAACTGTATTTAAGGAAAATTAATCTTCTTGCTGACAGGAGATTTTAAGAGAGATTACTGCAAAAGTATTTGTGTAAAGTGATTATATCTTAAACTGGGTGATTGCGGGAGTGGAAAGAAAGGGACAGAGAACCTTGAGAACTGTAATAACTAATTGAATATAAGGGTCAGCGGGACTAAGGCATCAAAGTTTGTTCAGCTATTCAGCTGGAATGACTGGGAGAAAAGAAATTCTAACAGAGAAACATGAAGACAGTTTTATAAAGATGAGCTAATTTTAAAACACATTCCACTTGAGGTCACAGCAGGACAGCAGATAGCTTGCAATCCTGAAATACAGTTTGGGAATCTGGTGTTCAGAACTGGTAATTTGGATTTTTAGTCCATGTAGGACAATGGATGGCCACTCCAAACATCAAGTGTAAAGAACTGAGGCAAATTTGCTATGTGACTGAGTTACAATATGAGAAGCAGAGCAATAAAATACAGAGTCTGCAAAATATACTGCTAGTCTCAAAAAAAAATTTTCAAATATTTTGTAAATCTACTAGTTCTATATGTAGAAATGAAAATCCTCAGTAAGTGCATTTAATGAATATTTGCTGAATAATTAAAATATTCTTTCAGGAAATGAGGGGGATATGAATGAAATGATCTGATTTCAGCACATCTACACTGTAATATAATTTTCCTTTATTTTTCCAAGCTACTTTTTCTCTTATCTCTGTCATCTCTGTTAGCAGCATCAAATAACCCTCCGGTTTCAAGTTCATCGTTACCTCCTTTCTCTCCCTCATTCTCCACATTTATCTCCACTTCCACTGCCAAGTCTCAAAAGCCCTCATCTCAGTCTATTCAACAGTCCTCTAATTGCACTTTCCTAACTATGTCCTTTGATTCTTAGAGGCCATCCTATATTGCTGCCAGAGAATACACTAAAGCACAGTGCCACCCGTTATTCCCCTACTCAAAACCTTTAGTTTCGCAGAATTTGGGAGACATCAAATCCAAATTCTCTCCCTGTCACTCATTTCTTCCTTCTCTGTCTTGCCCCTCTCCTTTCCTTTCTGTGCCTTTTCTGTGTATTTTATCTTCCAGGGATTATGCTAAACACTAGGGCCAAATAAGAACATGGTTTTATTCTCAAAGAATTAATAATAACAATGTATTTTTGTCTTGCTATGATTTGTAGACAGTATGGAGTGTGGATTAGGGAACAAAGCTAATAAAGAGGCAGAGAAACCATTGAGGCCTGAAGCTATATAGCCAAGAGTCTATATGAGCCTACACTCTAACCCACTTATATGGTGAGCAGCTCAAAGCAAGGGTCATATGTGTCATTCATATTTGTACCCCAAATGCCCCAAGTATTGCCTGGCAACTATTGGTATTCAAAAAATGCTGAAATGAACTAGGTGGATGGTATCACTGAAGGCTATTTTTCTCCTCAAGTGACCTATGCTCTAGCTAAATTGAATGTCCAGCACTTTCTCACTTCTTTGCCTTTGCTGACAATGCTCACTCAGTGATGCGGTTTGGATCTGTGTCCCTGTCTAAATCTCATGTAGAATGGTAATGCCCAGTGTTGGAGATGGGGCCTAGTGGGAAGTGACTAGGTCATGGGGGCAGACTTTCCCCTTGGTACTGTGTTGTGATAGTGAATGAGTTCTCATGATCTTGTTGTTTAAAAGTGTGTAGCACCTCACCCCTCTTTCTGTCCTGCTCCTGCCATGTAAGATACCTACTCCCACTTTGCCTTCCGCGTAAGTAAAAGCTCCCTGGGGCCTCCCAGAAGCAGATGCTGCTATGCTTCCTGCACAGCCTGTGGAACCATGAACCAATGAAACCTCTTTTCTTTATAAACTGCCCAGTCTCAGATATTTCTTTAGAGCAGTCCAGGAATGAACTAACACAGCCAGGTTATAATATTCTTTCCATCTCCATTTACAGAAGGCCTAACAAAAGGCCACTGAACACCTGTGATGTGTCAAACATGTTGGGCACTAGGTATAGCATTATTGATTAATACAGACATAGCTTCTGTCACCATGGCACTTAGACTCTACTAAGAGAGATGATACATAAATGAGCAAATGTATAAATTGTGAAAGTATTACAAAGTATATATGCAGGGTATGGTGAAACAGAATAGAATTTAGATGAAGTGGTCAGGATAGTCCTTTCTATTAACCTTTATGTGTTCAAAAGTTCAGTGCACTCAAGAGAAACTGAAAGGACTATGAAGCTGAGACGTGGTAACAATAGTTACTGTTTGCACCACTTGTTTGATATTTACCTTATGCTGCCTTGTACTATTAATTCTCCTTGTAGGTCTAGACATCATGTTTCCATGATCAAGTTAAGCTTCTTGAAGCCAAGGACTTTCCAGTACTTCATGGTGCCTTATTAATACCCAACACAGTCCCTCCTGCATACTGTTTGAGGCTTAATCTGCCTCTTCACATATATTATTTCTAATGCCACCCTCCTCTAATTCTATGAGGCAGATGTTAATTTTCTTATTTTGCTGATGTTAAAACAGAATCAGAGAGGATACGGAACTTGCCTACAGTTACAGAGCCACTACTAAGTACTTAATTCAGGATTCAAATACAGGACTATGATTTCAAAATACCAGGCTTTTTCACTATTCAGATGTTGTAAATTGATGGCTTAAAGACATACTCATCTGTAGAGTATTTTAATATATTTTGAATTAGCTACTTATTTTAAAAATCTCAAAATATGACATTAAAAATTTGGATTTCCATTTTTTCTTAAAAATTACGATACTCTAATAACACAAGCCCTGCATTCCTGCATGACAATTGGCTAGAGCTGAGTAGTGACCTCCTCCAGACATTTTCCTCTTTATATCTTGTCCATTTATTTGGATATCCTACCTGGTGGTCCTCTACAAACATCTCAGTTTATAATCCTTGCACCATTCTATGCTTATTATAATTTATTTAAGTACTAACACAACGTATATGTATAAATATGAGTAGGGTTTTTTTTTTTTTTTTTTTCCCAGTGATTAACACAGTTTTCCTAGGACATCAGCTGAGACCATGAAACACAGAAGTGGAGAAAAGAAGGAATGCATTACTGAAGGAAGATCATCGATAAATACTGAAGCTGAGAATGAGCTTATTTTCTTTTGGCAATAGGATTAGTTAACATTGGGACCTTATTGTGAAGACTCTTAAAAGCCAGGATGAGGTGTTTGAGGTTTTCGATAGCAGTTGTTTAAAGTGTTTGCAAAAACGAGTAAGACAGTAGCTCCTGAAAACTTTTATATATGACAAATAGAAAAGATGGTTTCATTTTACTTTTTCCAAAAAAAGTGGAAATGACTACGATAATGTCTACTTACTTTAAATGAACTTCAGTTTGGGAATGTATTGCTTCTCCCAACACATTTCCAGTTTCATCCACCACAGCAGCTGCTGTATCATCACAACTGGTTTCAATTCCCAATACTATTTTATGAAGAAAGGGTGTCCCAGGATGAAAATTAAAACTTCTTAAAAATTCATAAACTTTCCTTTTTGATGGTTTAAAAACTCCTGCTGTCTTATTCAAGATTAGCATACTTACTCTATAGATAATTCCTGAAAAAGAATTACAAAAACAACTTCTTATTTGCAATTGACATTGGCCTGCCAATCTTTCAATATATAGTTTTACAGAATTACAGGAAAGTCTGTAAAAGTCACCAAAATTTTGTAAAGGCTATAGCAACATGTGAATATAAATAACATTATGAATGGATATAATGTTCCTCAAGAGGGAAGACGAGTTAGATATAAAATTTTTTAGTACTAGTTGCATGCTGTTCATACCAAAAGACTTATTATTAAGACAGCTAATATTACAGTACAATAATGATAGAGTCCTCTGAAAAGTGCTATTTATTTTTTGGCAGCTAAAATTAAGACAAAATGTGGATTTTCTAAAAAGAATCAAATAACAAAGGCAGATGAAACAGATAAAAATAATGTTAATGTATTCTGTTTCCTAAAAACACCTTTCAAAATAAAACTTGATCATTTGTTTCAAAAACAAGAGTTAACATAAACACACACACATCAGATTTAGTCTCTGGGTTATAAACAATAGTGTTTTCATGAAGCTCTTCTTAAAAGAAGTATTTCGACTAAAATGACTGCAACCTAACTCCTATTTTATCTTTAATTTTAATCTTTGGAATTAAATCTCCACTTTTTGCTACAGGCTTTATCATAACAAGCATCTTCCCAAATCCCTTTCCCCCAAAATAACAGCCCATCACTAAAGCACGGTAGTATTTTCCCACTGCGAAGTACCTAATCTTATGCCCCCAAATCATCCGTTCTAAAACTTTCTGGGTGTTAAAGCAGATCGTTTCTCCACCACACTAAAGGGATACAGGGAATCCCAGGGATTCGAGGTGAGCGACCTACTTGCAGAGGACAGTTGCGGGCAGTGCAGCCCAGACAGACAGGAAACCCTAGAGGAATTAGATTTGCATTAACAAAATCTGGACAAGGAGGACTATGCAAAGCACTACCCTTTGGGGCCAAGAAAGCTGCAGGGTGAACCCACGTGACTTGGGAAGCGCTGGTCTCTGGTCTGCTATAAGGCGGCGAAGGGCGCGAACTAGAACCGAGTTTCCAGGTGCACACCATCATTGGGGTGAAGAGTGAGCAATTTCACCCACCTTCCTCTTGGGGAGCAGGTGCTAGCACTTGTCTCCTTTCCCTAGTAAAGACTGTCGACTGCCCCTATTGCTGCAGGAGGAAGCCCGAACTTGGCGCTCGGAAGTGATGTCATCAACACCGTGCCAGGTCCCTTCGGAACTGGCTGCTGTTTCACTAGAGCGGCATTCTTAGTAAAAACAAAAGCTCAAAGGCCGTCTTTGCCCAAAATGTCCTGCGTGCCCGCATGCATTTTTCTTCAGATTTGCAGGTGATGGGAGTTCTGTAGACTTACACAGCTAGTGACTGATCCAGCGGAGACCGATTACAGGTTTGTCTGACTACACATCAAGTTGCAAGCACTAAGCTACAATAAAAAGAATTATTTTTTTTGCCTTTTGCTGGAATTTAGTTGATATTGTGAGAAAAGGATGGGGTAGATTGTTCATTCCACTTTTAAGGGAACTATCACCAAATCTAAAGGTAAGGGTGGGGTGCCTGATACCTTCATCGGAGAAAGGATGAAACTAGCGGCGCCCGCTAGCGGGGCGAGGGTTGGGGTAGGGGTGGGGGTGGTCCAAAAGAACGGAAGTGTTTCTGGTCGGACAGTGTAAACCGTTACTCCCAATTCACTTGGAAAAAAGGGGCTGGCTTATTTTTGTAATTTTTTTTAAAAAGGCGGTGGTAAATATTCTGTTACCTTAAAAAATCCTATTTTCATATTGTTCTTACTTTGTACACGAATTCAGCATGGTATGTTTTCAGAGTCTTGCACCTGCTTTTTTTTCTTTTATTGGCTTATGAACTTGTTACCATTGTTTGAACAGATTTATTTCAAGAGTCTTTCTTTTCCCCTGCTGGTATTTAAGATTTCGGTAAGCAAGGATCTTAGAATGCACTGTTGTACAGGGCTGGCATATATTCCTGTACTTTGCACGTTGTGAAGCTCTGGGTATAAAAGATGAGTAAATCCCATAACATGTTGGGAAGTCACAGAGTAGAGTCTAGAGGTAGATACAGAATAAGTAAGTAAATAATTACCAGAATATGAGTGGAGCTTATGTCTTTCAAAAATTTCAATTATGTGTAACGATAACGATAATAATAAAGGGGCACTATGTACCAGGCACTGTTGTAGATTAATTTAATTTTTTCACCATCCCATGACGTAGTTATTGTCCTCATTTTACAAACAACTGGGCCAATGAGTTTGGGTGCGTTGGAGGTCACACAACTAGGAAAAGTGAGCTAGGATTAGAAGTCAGGCCATCTGGCACTGGAGTCTGTTTTCTTAACTGCGAGAAGATAAATAACTCACATTTTCTCTAGGGTGAATTGTTGGCCTAAAAAAGGAAAAAAATTAAAACCTAAAGTTTAAGAAAAATTATATTGTTTGATTACATATGGCAGGTCAGAGATTATTTCTGTTATACACTGGAATCCAGTTTGAATATAAAAACCTTTCACATCAATTATTATTTTTCTTACAATTCAATTACGTTCAGCAGGTGTATCCCAATACTCTCCTGTGCTGTCAAGACAAGCAAGATCCTGTTGTGTGTGCTGTCATTGGTAAATTCCTCATCTAGGCACTCTTTGGCCAGTGTTTAGTCCAAATGCTGTATTATGTGAAACAGCAGAACTCTAGGGCACATTAGAAAGGAATTTTATCTTTCCTTTGACCTAATATATGTGACGTGGCACTTATACAAGTCCCATGTATTTAGCAAGTGAAGGTGTACATTTTCTATGTTCTTTATTGGAGCACAGGAGAGGGTTATTAGGGAAAAGGCAAGTGTGCTCTCTGAGGCCTGTCTGTCCTTTATGTAGATATCGTATGGCTAGAGTGCCACTCATGGGCATTCTAACAAATATGGCCTATGTAATTTCAATAAAAATCAAGAGTTCCAGCTCAATCTAGATATGCTCATTTTGTCTCAGATATTGTGTGTCTAGCTTTCCATTTGTAGCCTTCAAGGAAATTTTAATATATAAATATGTATTAAAACATAGAAGAATCTTATTTTCAATATTTATTTCCTAATTATGTCCTACTACGTTAGGTTTTATTTTCATTTATTACATTTTTATTGGGTTCATTTCTTTGTGATAGGAACTTTATTAGTTGCCAGGCCAGGCTGTCTTCAGGATCTGTATTCTTAATCACCACACTTTGCTGAACACATAGCAGTAGTTTCCAATTCTGGCTGTGTACAGGAATCACCTGTGGCCCAATCTCAACCTAGGCCTAGGAATTAGAAGCTCTGAGGGTGGGATCCAGGTATCACTTTTTAAGAAAAGGGTGACATTAACCACTGTGCTATGTCTTTGGCTCTAAAAGTTTCATTTTCCTCATATTATTGTTGACAAAAAGATCTCTTTAACTTTCTAACCAGTGTAATGTTTTTTAATTCTTGAGTTCTTAGAATCTGTCCAATATAATTTTTGAAACATCCATTATCTTGTACCTTTGAAATTGAGTTATAGGGAATTCCTCAGATCTGGAATTGACCCATTTCTGAATTCATTCTCTCTTTTTCTGATTGCTTGTGGCTCAACACTTTCTTGTGGCTCAACTAAAAAAAAATTTTTTTTTTTTTGAGGAGGGTCTCTAGTTCTGTCAGTTACTGAGGAAGGAGTATATACTGTTGCCATTCTGGCTTCTTATGCTTGCTATTTGCATGGTGTATCTTTTTTCAGCCTTTTAGATTGCTGTGTCTTTGTACTTCAAATGTAATGCTTGTAGTTAAAGTTGGGTGTTACTTTTTAAATTCAGTTTGATAATCTTTGCCTTTGGATTTCAGTATTTAGTCCATGTAATATAATAACTGACATGGTTGGGTTTAGGTCAGCCGTTTTCCTGTTTGTTTTCTGTTGGTCCCATCTCTGTTTTGTTCTTCTGTTCCTTCTTTCTGGGGGGAGAGGAGGCCTTTAGGGTTAAAAAATATATACATTTTAGTATCTAATTTTAATTTCTTTATTGAGTTCCCGTTAGTTTTTGCTTTGGTGATTACATTATGTATGTATCCTTATCATAATCTACTTGGAGTTAAAAAATGGAAAAACCCTGTAAGTATATTTCACTTATATTTGGTGTCACTCCTTAATAGTGCACATATACTGGCAACTAATTCTTATCTTTATCTGAAAATGTCTATTTCATCTTCATTTTTGAAGGACTTTTTTTTTTTAAATGAGATAGCCAAATTCTGTGTTCTTTTGCCATTTAAAAGATTTCACTGCCAGCCGTGTGCAGTGGCTCACACCTATAATCCCAGCACTTTGGGAGACTGAGGCAGGTGGGTCACCTGAAGTCAGGAGTTTGAGACCAGCCTGGCCAACATGGTGAAACCCCATCTCTACTAAAAATACAAAATTAGCTGGGTGTGGTGTTGCATGCCTCTAATCCCAGCTGCTCTGGAGGCTGACGCAGGAGAATCGCTTAGAACGTGGGAAGCAGAGGTTGCAGCGAGCTGAGATCGTGCCAGTGCACTCCAGCCTCAGCAAAAGAGGGAGATTGTCTCAAAGAAAAAAAAAAAAAAAACAGGTTTCACTGTCTCTTGCTCTTTATGATAGCCATTATTTTTGCTGTTTCCTCTTTGTACTGTTTTTTTCCCTCTCTGCTTTCAGGATTTTATCTTAATCTTTGGTTTTCAGCAGTTGAATCTCGTATACCTACGAGATTCTTTGCATTTATTCTATGAATTTATTCTTTGCGTTTATTCTGTGAATTTCTTTGCATTTTATTCTGTTTGGAGGTTTGCTGATCTTGCATCTGTAAGTTTTATTTCTCCAAGTTTGCTGATTATCAACCTGAATATCTTCATATTTTATTTTCTTTCCCAGTTTTCCATTTTTTATGTGGGACTCCAACGACATATATATTAGGTTGTTTGTTTTCCCATAGATCACCGCGATGCCTTTCCAGTTGTCTTCACTTTTCTGTAAAGTGAACACAACACATTTTATCATTTCTATTGATCTGTCTTCAACTTTACTGTTTCTTTTCCCTTCTCTGATCTGCTGTTAAGCCTATCCAGTGAAAATTTAATTTCTGATACTATATTTTTTAGGTCTAGAATTTCCATTGTAGTTTTTGTTTTATAATTTCCACTCCTCTGTTGAGATTCCCCCTTCTATTCTCGCATGATGATGACCTTTTAATGTTTAATGCTTAAGACCTTAAACATTTATTAAAATTTGTTTTTAAATGCTTTTTGATAATCCTAACATCTGGGTCGTCTTGAGGTTGGCTTCTACTGACCACTTTTTATTTTACCATGACTCACATTTTCCTGTTTTGTTAGAGTGGTAACTTTTGAATGTACAGTGGGGCATTGCAGATGATATGTTTAAAACTCTGGGTTCTGTTATCTTCTGGAAAGTGCTGATTTTTGTTCTACCAGGTATTTAAATTACTAACAGATCATCTTGAGCTTGTTTTTTACTATGTTAGGGAGAAGCTGTTCCAATTTTGTTCTTGGTCCCAGGACAACTTCCTAAGTTTAGGATGTAGGTTTTTTATCGTAGGATGTGGCCCTCTTCCAGTTTTAATTGAAAGCCCAGAGTGTTTCCCAGGCCATGAAACTGGAATTCAGCTTCCAAACTTTGTTTCCCCTGCAATGGGCAGAAGCTGAAATTTCTGTTCAGCTCATTTAGCCTTGTAATGGCTGTTTTCCTTTGGGTTCCCACACATGGGATTTTCTTTCTCAATTTTCAGTTGTTTTGGAAGCAGACAGCTCTGTGTCTTGGTGACTCGGGCTAATAACATTGCAACGTTCTGACTGAGTTCTGACCACGCTGCTTCCTCTTAATACCGGGGATTGCCCCTCTGGGTAAAAGTTGTTTAAATGTGGGTCTCTGTCTTTTTTTTTTCACTCCCCCAAGGAGTGAATCCGTAGCAAATTTTTCTACTTTTGGCTGTTCTTCAGTGCCCACTTTAAATAATTGAGTTTTGTTTTTGTTTTTTTTGAGGCAGAGTCTCACTCTGTCGCCCAGGCTGGAGTGTAGTGGCAAGATCTCGGCTCACTGCAACTTCTGTCTCCTGGGTTTAAGCGATTCTCCTGTCTCAGCCTCCCAAGTAGCTGGGACTACAGGTGTACACCAACATGCCTGGATAACTTTTGTATTTTTAACAGACAGGGTTTCTCCATTTGGGCCAGGCTAGTCTCGAACTCCTGACTACAGGTGATCTGCCCGCCTTTGCCTCCCAAAGTGCTGGGATTATAGGCATGAGCCACCATGCCCTGCCAATAATTGATTTCTATATTTTGTTAAGTGTTTATCATAGTTATATGCAGGAGAGTTAATCTAATACATGTTCCTTTGTCGTTACTATACCTGGAATGCCAGTTCTTTATTTTTATAAAATTTACCTCAGATGGTTAATATGTTTCTGATTATGATCTCATTAGTTCTATTTTATTTCTATTCTTAGATATGAAGAGAAGGCTACTAAAGACTTGGAATGATACAATAGTCAAATGAAGAGAGCCATTGAACAGGAGTCACAAATATCATTAAAAGATGGCAGAAAAAAGATAAAACCCACCAGCACA